TGCTTAACATCAGGTAATCGGTTTGCTCGTTTACTGACTTATCATTTAAAATAGTACTTTTCTTAATAACTAGCTAATACTAAATGACTCCACTATTTAAAGGACTTTATTATACATATCGATCTTCCTCTTCAATCACTCTATATATTAAAAACTGCATCAAAATCCATTGCATAGATATTTGTAAAGATAAAAGCATAGTAATACATAGGAATAGAGAATAGGATATAGAGAAGGACAAAGCGACTTTGTTTTATACTATGAAGTGAAAGGTATATAGCACAACTATGGTCACAATTTCCAAGTCTCTCTTTCAAAATTTTAATGAAAATGTAACCTGATTTCAGTATTGAAATTTTGCACTTGCTGTCGATTTGTAACCTATTCCACCACTCACACACTGAAGATGCGACAAATTTTATTAGACACTTCCTAGTTTCTGTGAGGAACAAATAATGCAGAGTCATAACGACGATACAATATGTTCATAACCGGATATATAATCATTAATCATATGTTATAAAATTGCCATTTTAAATATCTAGATTATTAAGATCAAAGTCCACTAAATCCGGCCAGTGATAGCGGACTTTGGACGTGTATATGTATAAGGAAGAATAAACTAAGACGTTATCTGCCAGATACGAAGAGTAGGTAGATAAAAAATATAGTAACTATATTTTAAAATTCAAATGTTTGTTTGTGTGTGCGACTTAAACGTCTAAACTGCTGGGTTCATTTTGATTAGTGATGATGAAAGATAGTTTGATCACCAGTTATTTCTTGAAGGGGTGAAACATACTTTTATGCATAACTAGCGACCCGTCCCGGCTTCGTATGGGTGTCAATGTCTACTAAATTTAATGGATGTCATTGTAGAAATAGAGCTTCATCAAAATCGTTTGCGTAGTTTTGTAGATTTAAGCATACATAGGGATATAGGGACTGAGAAAGCGACTTTGTTTTATACTATGTAGTAATATGTGTATACATACTTTTTTAAGTCTTCCCTAGTAGTAAATGATATAAAATACATTAATGTTATGATGAAAAGAATGACGAAATCTATACAAATTTTTACGCAAGGCGAGTTCGCGAGATGTAGCTTGTATCATAATTTTAGTTTCTTTGACGAAAGTCCAAAGGTCGATTGAAGTATTATAAGCTTTGGACTTTGTGAAGGATGCCAGTTGCGTGCTGTTTGTGATAGTGTTTGGTGGTTAGTGTACACGAGCCTTTTACCACTTAAGGGACAAGGATATAAGGTTCATTTCTTTTTGTTATTTTTTTTTCTTTCTTTATTATTATAGGGTTTCTTAAATACTTGTTTAGACTTTATAAACAATTGAATAATAATATTGTGATTAAGGGCTGATTTTTCAATAGTCATATAAATATTATCTGAGGAATAAAATTGTTGCTGTCACTGTCTTATACGAACATTCTGACGTGACAGCATCATAACTATTCCCCAGGTAATTTTTATCTAACCAATCTTGAAAAATCAGTCGTCATCGACTCGTCATGTAATAGAATGCTGGTTCGAAACCTGGCTAGTACCAATGTGACATTTTCCGAGTTACCTATATGTACTTTCTACGATTATCACCACTAACATGGAGGAAAATATCGTGAGGAAACCTGGACTTATAATTAAAAGTTTGAAATCGCCAATCCGCCTTGAGCGCCGTGGTTATTGATAGGAGGAGAAGGTATGAAACCTTCTTCATGTGAGAAGAGGTCTTTGCTCAGTAATGGACCCTAATATTATTTTTAGTGATGTTTTTTAAGTTAATTTAATGTTATCTTTTATGTATTTCCAATTGTTTCTTTTATTTTTATTTCAAAATTAGCGTAGTAGTACAGTATGACTTTATTTGATTAGGCAATTCATAATACCTATGGCAACCGTGAAACAACTGTCTGTTGATTACACATCTAAATCTGTTTCAACTCAACTCGACAACGCCTTTTCACTGCGCCAATGTATCACCATCATCAAACCATTTTCCACCGTATTTATAATCACGGGCCTGCGGTCGGCGAGTAAGGGCAGCTCGCCGCCCGACCAGAACCAGGCCCGAGCGTACGGCGCGTAGCGTTCCGCGCGCGCCTCAAAGAGCCATTAGACCACCACAGATGGGGCCCTAAAGGGCTGATGTTCAGCCGGGATTGCGGGGTAAGCGCAATGAGGCACCGCGACCTCGGCACAGAGCAGGAGAAGGAACAGGGGGGTTTTTAGTCAGCAAGAGTCTGACACTCCCTCCTGCCCGGCCCTGGGCGGGAGAAGTCATTTGATGATTTTCCCCTCACAAAAAAAAAAACCGTATTTATAATATAATAACTTAAAATTTATATTTACTATAACGAAAATCAAATGTTTTGCTTATAACAACAACAATCGTCTGAGATCGTGAATAACGTGTTTTTATGTAATGTGTCAATAAATATCAGCTTTAAAACACCAATATAAATTGGTCCTTAAACATGCGGATTTATCATTTATTGTGAGACCACGATTAAATGGTTATCTTTTGTATGTTAAACACCACTATAAATTGGTCGTTGAATATGGGGATGGATCATACATTGTGAGACCAAGATTAAATGGTTATCTTCTGTATGTTTGCGTACTCGAGTTGTATACATAACAATTCAGTACATAAAAGATAACAAGTCACATGAAACCTCATTGTCTTGTTCAGTACATTGTACTCGATAACTGATTAAAAAATAATTCAAATTCAAAAATGGAATCTTTATTGTGTTATGATTACTGGAAATTCAAATTGGACTTGTTCTTTTTTGCTTTCGATATGTACGAATAATGTTTTTTAATTTTTTATCACGCCTAAATAATATCATGAAATATTTAATTTTATGTTTTTTTTATTTGTTTTTTATCAATTACTCAGCCAAAACATACATATAAATCACGATTGAAATAGATTCTTGTATTATTAAACTTATTACAACGAACGAGTTCTTGAATCAGGTGGCCTTTTGAATAGGTGATAGTTGCCAGACATAGTTCAAAACACTAATAATAATTCTCAAAATAACAAATAAATCAACATGTTTGTTACCTGCTTAATTGATAACCGAAAAAGGCCAAAATACTGGACCGATTAAAGTTTTTAACGTCATCACCAAAAATATTAGAACGAAATCAGCATACCTACTTATAGCGTTAAATTTATTTTTAATAATTTTGCTCGTAATTATCTAATTTGTAGCTTCAATATTTCGCTATAGACATAGAAAAATGGATTTAATAACAACTTACCTCCTTTGACAAACAGATTCGATTTTGGAATACATAAAACAGAAAATTCAATTCGCTTTGAGATCCAGCAACGGCCGTCACCGCGGCACAGATTACGCACGAACCAAATATTTGATCACAGATACCTGCTTGTTTCCAGACTCCATGATTGAGCACGCGATATTAATGTTTGTTGATGCAACCGCTGCACGTATTCAAATAAAACGGACGTGCAAATGTATATTTATAAATATAATTTTATAAAACTGCAATATTAAATAATTTATTCCTTTAAAAAATCCCACATTTTTTATTAATGACAACTCTGTATTTGGCGCGAAAGGTAAATTTCAAAATGGCTAATGACGTTTCGTTTTCGCGCGAGTTTTGTTTTTGTTGTTGTTTTGTTTGATCTGTGTTTAAAAAGGGTTCTTTACAATTTTTGGGTCTAATTTGAATTAATGAATTTTGTTTTTATACAATGACGTGCTAATTATTTCATTTATTCACACGTTTTGTGTAACAATATGTTAATGAAATATTAATACGTTTTAATTCGACAAAAAATCTTGGTACATACGTGTATTAATTCGGTAAAGATAACTCGTGCCTCATTATTTTATTTTTTAAAGAAAACGCGATTCTTATATTTTTCATACCTACTTTATGGTAATTAAGTAATTTAGTACTGGCATTTAGACAAATAATTCTTTATTTGAAGAAAATAAGGTAAAGGAACATAGATTCAAATATTCGCAATAAATGTAGACATATCTGTTCAAAATAAGTTTTCTTTTACCACAGATGTTTTAAAATAATGAACGTTTTTTGAAAAATTAAAGCTTCTTCCTATTGTTATTCTTTTTTTGAGTGGGAATGCGTCCATTTGCTTTTGTTTATTCAAGTACCTCATCAACTGTTAGATATCATTATACTCATACTGACGCATACAGCCTAATGATTATATTTTTTAATATTGTTTATTATAGTCTGTCTAGTTTGTTACACATAGGTACAAAAATTGGCTTAAAGGACTTGTATCCAGGCCATAAACTCTAAAAAAAAATTGGTACGAAATTAATAAACCGCGCTAAAGTTTATGATACAAAAATACTATCTTAATCCATTGATTTCAGATTGAGATTGGTTATCGGTATCAACTATTTTTCGGTAGTGTGAAATACTTAAGATATAGGTATAGGTAGTTCTTCCGTTCACGATACCAATTCTGTATCCGGCTTTATTCTAAAGGTTAATTTAGCATATGACATTTGAATTTAATCAATCCTTTTGCCTCCCTTCCACTCATATCTACAATTGTTATACTTAGTCCTTATGAACTCCTTTGGCGATGCGGGATTAATTTCTTATCCAACCATAAAAAAATTGTGGGTACCCTAAATACCTACATACAATGATATTATAATTAAAAAAGTGCAGATAGGTTACAAGCGCTCAGCAAGTGATACATTAAAATGTGGCTAACTAGCTACATTTTTTCATATTTGTCTCTTTTGCACTCGCGATTATTGAATCATGCCATCCCACTTTAACGTGTATCATACGATTTATTCATGTGTGCATAAGTGTGCCGTTTTTGAAAATCGAATGTTGTTTATGTTACATAATTTTACTTATAATATCATTGCCTACATGTATAATTATGGTAAGTTACTAATACAATTTCATATTTTTCTTTTTAGATATAATTTCCAGTTCCACTGAAACAAGAAATAAGAAGTAGCAATGATCGCCACATTACTACTGGTGGGTTTCATCGGGCTGGTGATCTACAGACTCCTGGCTGAGGAGGAGAATCCTCTCGACAAGTTACCAGGACCTCCACAAAAACCGATTATAGGATGTGTCTTCGAGTTCCTCAATTTAACTCCACGTAAGTGAAAATCTTATCCTTGATATATATTATCGTTGTAGGGATAGGAAGAATGGCCAAGGCAAAAAGTAATAATATTATTTCGATAAATATAATCTGTTACAGTACTCGTATTTAAATACTAACCTTTGAATCGTGGTTATTCGAGACACAATTGTAAAATAAATAAATAAATAGGTGTGCGAACGCCGGCGTTCGCTTAGGATTTACATACATAAGTATGACATTGATTCAACATATTTATAACGACACAATTTAGTCGTAGGTACTCTTACAAAAAATAATCGAGAGAGCAGTCATTTGATGGTTACCTATTCCACCTCAAATAAACTCTCTAATTAAAATCTCACGCATAGAATTCAAAAGCTAATAAGAATAATAAAAAAACCGGTGATAGGTAGGTAAGCCAAGTGTGTGAGAGCCAAGCTTCGGCACGAATGGGTCGGCTCGACCGGAGTGATACCACGGCCACACAGAATACCGGCGTGAAACAACCCACAGCGTTGTGTTTCGCCGTGTGAATGAGGTTACCGGAGGCCCAATCCCTCCCCCTCCCCTATCCCTTCCCGATCCTTATATCCCCTACCCCTATCCCCAAAAGCCCGGTTACGCACTCGTAACTTCTTTGGTGTTGCGGGTGTCCATGGGCGGCGCCCATTGCTTACCATCAGGTAATCCGTCTGCTCATATACTTATACCATAAAAAAAGGTAAAAAACGTGTCGGTATAAAAATATATAAGTATATATTTTTTCTGTACATTGATCACTTTATATCTGTCAATATCAAACGTACTATTGTGTTCCAGGTCATGTATATACATACTATATATATAGAAATATAACAAAGAATGTATTGTTAGTCGGAAAGCTAATTTACTTGAGTGTTCCCACCAATTACTGCACAAAACATCAAGTGTTGATCTATTATACCTACATTACATAACATAATAATACGCCTATTCGTATCCAAAGAAACTCCAAGACTTATACTCGTACTTATAGGTATAGTAAACCTTTAAGTGTGGGAGTGCCATGCCTTGGTACGAATTGCTCTGATCGACTGGAGTAGTTATACCATGGTCTCACAGGCGTGAAATGGGCGTGAAACTATTGAAACCGTCTGATATTTTGAAACGATTTTTCTGCCTAACAGTACATTTGATTTAAAAGTAGTTTAAATTAAATTAATAGAATTGGGGGCGTCGGCCACGGGTGCGTCGTCCACTGTGGGCCTAAACCCGAAATAACTACAGGGTTATGTTTCGGTGTAGGCTCCCCTCGCCCCTTGGATCTCGCCCCTGATTGCCTAAGTGCATCAACTCGCCCCTTAAATTATATTATTAGATACTCCAACTCGCCCCCGATTGTTGGTTAGTTAAAAGTACTGTCAGAACTCTAAGTTTTTAAAATATTTAAATGAATATTTTTTCTTAAAACTTCAATAATGGTCCCATAAAAGGTCCCTTTTGTTACAGTAGGTAAGCCAGGTAATAAAACTATCACAAGTGGTTAAATTACTTACCAGTTTTGTTTACTGTACATTTTTCTGAATATACCTTTTTTAGTTAAATTTCAAAGGGAATGCCGTAAGGGGCGAGTCGATGCATCAAAATAATTATTTAATTGTTAAATTTTTCACTCGCCCCGTAAGGGTTTTCGTAAGGGGCGAACCACAACTCCAAATTAATAAAAACGGGGCGAGTGGAACATTTTAATCGGAAGGGGCAAGATCCAGGGGGCGAGCTGATACTACACCTATGTTTCGCCGTTTGTTTTTGTTATTGTTTTCGATCCCATCCTGCCTTTCTGCCCATTCTTTGCCCATTGTTCTTCACTCGATAAGTGAAATAAAAATAATTATAAAAATTAAAAAATTAAATCTCTAACCGATATTCAATGAATTATGTGCGGTATTGTGAGGAATGACGTCTGTATTTATTACGACAAATGGCATATTTATACCTTGAAAATTTGTAAGACTAATAAGAGTATTAAGTGTATAGTATCAAGTGTAATAAAACAAATTAATGAAAGTCTGAATTTTGTGTGATTGGTCGGCAAACGGATTACCTGATGGTAAGCATTCAGCGCCGCGCATGGACACCCGCAACAAGCAACGGAGGAGCTACGAGTGCGTAGCCAACCTTTTGAGGATTAGGGAGGAATTTGGGGAGGGGAAGGATTGGGCCTCAGGTAACCTCACTCACACGGCGAAACACAATGCTGTAGTTGTTTCACGCGATTATTATTTAAATGTTTTATTGCATCGATAAATCTAAGTACAACGAAGCACAGATCCAATATTTTAGTGGCTCGTCAAATCTTGTTGGGCCACGTCCACTTAAGGCTGTGACGACTGATGTTCACTCCTCGTTTAAGTATATCAAAGTATTAAGTAATTGACTATTAAAATTCTTAGAATAAAATTTAATTAACCGTCACAGTCATTAAATGGTTACTTTACTAAGTCCTTAGTATTTTTTGTTGGAACAAAATCGTCACTTAGGGACTGTTTAAGTAATCAATTAGTTTAGTTTTATTATGTAATAATATATGTGTATGTAGGCAAATGGGCAGACGGTTCACTTGATGGTAAGCAATCGGCGCCGCCCATGGAGACTCGCAACACCAGAGGGGTTACGAATACGAAAACGAACCAGGCTTTTGAGGATTAGGGTTTTAGAGATTGAGAAAGGGTGGGGAAGGAAAGATTCTGCCTCCGGTAACCTTAATGACACGGCAAAATATAACGCTGTGTTTCACACCAGTTTTCTGAGGCCGTGGTATCACTCCGGTTGAGCCGACCTATTCGTACCTCTCGCACTTAAATACTAGAAACTTCATAAGTATTTAACTATTTAAATAATATTACCTACAACAATAAGCTTTAAGGCTATTTTACTGCCACTAGCTGCTCTCGCGCGGTTGCACCCGCTCGGCTCCATTTATTCGTAGCGTGATGTTATATAGCCTATAGAACTCAGGAACATTGTAGCTATCTATCAGTGAAAGGATTTTGGAAACCCAACCAGCAGTTCTAAAGATTACACCTTACATACAAACCTAGAAATTATAATTTGTATCACTTCATTATATTAGTAGAAGAACAGAATAGTTTGTCTTATGTTTACAAGAACCAAATTCGAATACAAACAAAGAATTTGGCAACACTATTCTCGTTAAATTAATCTAATACAAAGCCGTATCGTCTCGTGTATCTTATATCTATCTATTATTATATTTCGTATTAATTCTATCCCTTCAAGTAAATACGACAGGAGTAGTTAATGTTCTTCACGCACGCACGGGTGAGAAAGGTCCAAATACATAACTACATATTCCTTATATACAAATGTGTATATGTATAAGTTTTTTCGTTGATCTTCTATCTCCCTTTGATGAGGAGGTTGTAATTATCTTAGTATTAGAATTTCTATTTGATTGTGACGGCTGTATTTATGTACTTACTTAAGACGGTTAAGGTATGGTGTGAATATCCTTAAAGGATTGGTTGAGGAAAATTTTAGAAGGACTTCTTTTTCGTATCGTGTTGCGTCAAATTTGGGTAAAATAACATAATTTTTAATGTCGTGGTGTCCCGGAGGTTGATGTACCCACTTCTCATGCATGAGGAGGGTTTGAAACCTGGCAAGTACCTACCAATGTGACTTTTTCCGAGTCATATGTAGATACTTTTTAAGTTCATTAAGACACCACACACATACGGTGAAGGAAAACAACGTGAGGAAACTTGGACTTTTCAGTAATTTCTAATTGTAAGTTTGACATCGCCAATCCGCCTTGAACAAGCATGGTGATTGATGCAAAGTCAAAGTCAAAATCATTTATTCCAACTAAACCATAAATAGGTACTTTTGAAACGTGGAAATAGAATAGTAGTCTGTCAGTCTGTTCTGACAGACCTGAAGCTAGGTGCTCATTCCAAATTGTAGATTCGAATGGAGAAGAACGAGCAAGAAACTCCATGCGTAAACTTTCTCCGTGTGAGAAGAGGCTTTTGTTCAGCTGTGGACACTAATACGCTGTTGATGTGGTGTGACGTGTGATGTGTGTTCAAATCCACTTCATAATTTCAATAGAAATAATATTCCTTGTCGTCAACGGTCATAATATTTAGTCACATTTTTTCCTGCATGATGAGGAAAGTCGTAAGGACAATATAGTCTTAGTGTAATACCTTTTCTCCAGGAAAATCGAAACTTTATCATTAGATTACCCTCCGTAGTGTTGTACTCTGGCCTCTTGAAGAAGAGGTAAACAGGAATCTTGTTACGGCTTATTTTATTCACTTCAGGATGTGACAATCAAGGATTATGATTTCACGTTAATGTTTACTCTTATCTAAGAAGAGTCTGAATATAAATGTAAAGTTTTAAGTAGCAACTAGCGGTCTGTCTCTCTTTCGTTCGTGGACACCCGGTCCAACTAAACAAAATAATCAAGAAATTTCGAGAAATATGTTTAAAAAAAAAAATTAAAAATAATGTTTTTTTTCTTTGTTTTTTTTTTTTTTATGTAGTTATAGTAGCAGATATATATAGTAGCAGACGGATTACCTGATGGTAAGCAATCAGCGCCGTCCATGGACACCCGCAACGGAGGAGATACGAGTGCGTTGCCGACCTTTTAGGGATTAGGGATTTGGAGATTTAGGGATTGAGGAGGGATTGGGGGCGGGGAAGGATTGGGTTGAACGCTGTGGTTGTTTCACGCCGGTCTTCTGTAAGGCCGTGGTATCACTCCGGTCGAGCCGACCCATTCGTGCCGAAGAATGGCTCTCCCACACTTCTCGTTCTCCTTGACAACAACAAATCGTTACAAAAAAAAAGAAAACGCAAAATTTATCCATAAATTGTTTTTATATCTCTATCCTTATCATTGTGTTATAAGAAGTTTAAAATTATGGACCTACATATTATTATAAACGAGTACATAGCCAGTTTTATACAATCACCGAAAAGTTAATGGTTCATTACTGTTTACCCCTTCCGTCAACAGAAAGCGCATTGTAATGTTTATAAAGATTAATTAATTGGCTACATCTGCAACTTTAGAACAATATCCAACTAAATATCCGAGGAGTTTCGATGTAAACATCGTAACCAGGATTCAAATCTCAAAACAAGGAAACTTTGGAACTGAACTTGTATCGTTAATAATGTATGTATTTGTATTATATTATACTAGCTAGCTTCCGCCCGCAGCTTTACACTCACACTTTAAAATTAAAGTTAAAGTTAAAGTTTCAAGCGATAGCTAGACTTAAATAGGCAGGTCAAGTATAATTAAAAAAAAAACAACATTGTAGCTATCAATCAGTGAAACTTTTTTGTAAATCCGACCAGCAGTTCCAAAGATTACCACCTCCTACAAGTACAAACAAATACCTATTTATAACGTTTGTAGACATAATTTTGTGTTACAAAAATGTGTTCAAAATTAAAAATTTGTTGCATATTTTTTGTATTTTATTCTTAACAAAAATCACTAATCACTATCACTACATATTATAGAATGAAGTCGCTTTCTTTGTCCCTTACTAGGGGTAAGGGTGTACGCTTAAATCTTTGAAATTACGCAACGAATTTGGTGCAGTTTTTTCAATAGATAGAATGAATGAAGATGAAGGTTTATATGTATAATAGCATCCATTTAATAGTGGAAAAATGTAGTATCAGTTTTGCACCCGTGCGAAGCCGGGGCCAGTCGCTAGTATTTAAACGAAGTAGACAGGCGTTGGATGCCTGTTGCTCTCAACCAACCGATCTTTTGTCTAATATTATCATTGTCAAAGTCGAAAATAATTTATTTCACTAATATGATATACACACACACGAAGTGAAATCAGAAATAATAATTACTTATTAAGGGCATTTTTAAACGAACAAATAAAATAATATTAAATGTTTAAAACTATCAGGCTGTCGGTCGGTTATAAATTTATTTAAGACATGAAATCTGATGTATTAAATTATTTTTGGTATATTTTTAAATCTTTTGTTCAACACTTGTTTTTTACACCAGAATTCATGATAATTGGTTCAGTGGTTTAGGTGTTCGACCGTAACAAACCAACAAACAATTGATTATTTTATTTAGAGTTAGAATACACATTACATTTTATATACTTACTTACTTGTTACAGGTAAAATGTTTAAGAAAATGCGTCTCTACAGCAAGCTCTACGGAGGCCGTTACATTGTCAAAATATTGAGGAGGAGGATTCTGCATCTTCACAATGTTAATGATGTCGAGGTTAGTACCAAGTCACTTATAATTTCAACATAATCATATACAGGAACAATCATTCCCCCATTCTCAATCCTCAAATCTCCTACCCTTAAATCCCTAATAACCCACAAGAGGCCGGCAGCGCACTTGTAGACTCCTTTGGTGTTGCGAGGGTCCACGGCCGGCGCTGATAGCTTACCATCAGGTAATCCGTCTGCTAGTTCGCCCTGCAAGTGAGGTTACTGGAAGCCCAATCCCTCGCCCTCGCCCCATCCTTAAATATCCAAAACCCTAAAACGAGCTGACTTGTTTACAAACGTAAAACATAATAAAATACAGGTACTTTTGAAACGTCAAAAAATTCTATGATATTCCGTGTTCGATGTCAGTAAATATCATTTATTATTGAAATGGTAAATAGAATATGATAGGTGCCAATAAATTCAATTTATATTGTAAGTAATATATATTGATATGTATTATTAGATTAGACTGTGTAATTCATTTATCTCTATAATAATTAGCAAAATGTTTGAAGTGTGGAAGAGCCATGCTTCGGTATAAATGGGTCGGCTCGACCGGAGTAATACAACGGCCTCACAGAAAACTGGTGTGAAACAATCACAGATTTGTTTTTCGCTGTGTGACTGAGGTTACCGGAGGCACAATTCTTCCTTCCCCAATAATCCCTAAATCCCCAAAACCCTTATCCACAAAAGGTCGGCTAAATCCTAACTAATATTATAAATGCGAAAGTAACTCTGTCTGTCTGTCTGTCTGTCTGTCTGTTACGCTTTCCCGCTTAAACCTCGCAACCGATTTTAATGAAATTTGGTACAGATAATCTTTAGACCCTGAGACAGAACATAGGCTATTTTTTTTTTTCGAAAAACCGGGATAAAGGGGTTGAAATAGGGGTTAAAAGTTTGTATGGGATTTCTTAATTTTTAAAGATAAAACCATAAAACTTAATATTTAAGCACTTGATAAGAAAATATGAAATATTTGTTCTAGCATTTTTGAAATTTCGACCATCTAGGGGGTGAAATAAGGGTTGAAAGTTAGTATGCAATTTCGCCAAATATCACGTCATAAGAAACAAAAAAATCTTCTGTACTAGCATTTTGAAAATTTTATCAGCGTGATATGTAGTTAAATAGGGGATAAATTGAAGATAAGAGCCGGAACGGATTCGGAACGGGATCTACAAAGCCAACCTTTATGTAGGTATACGAAATCTTAACTATTGAATAGGTTCAACATGTAATTTAGAAGTTTTGGGTGTATCAAGTTACAAAATAGTTCACTTTCGAAGTATAAATTCCTTTTAATGAACACTCTGCATCGCCGCCGCTGCCGTCGGCGCCGCGCACATTCGCCGAAGTGCGGCGCGGCGCTGTCGTGTGGTGGGGAAGCGCACGAATCTAACTATGTGTACCCCAACGGACAGACACGTGAGGACAGAGGTCGTTGTCAGGTGCGATAAGAGAAATTTGCGCTTTAGAGAATTACATTTTTCGATCCAGTAAAATTATTTTGCACGTACTTATATTTCTTTTAGTTCATAGTTACAACGTTACAAGTAGGTAAGATAGTTTCCGTTACTTTAAATAAATACGATTTGCTTTAATTTCCTTTTTTTATTCAATTAATCTAATAGCATCCTACTTTTTTGCATTGGTTGTAAATAAGTACTTATCCAAGTAGGTGCAGGTAGGGTGAAGACAGCCTTTTTAATATAATAAATCTTAATCTGTACATCTGTTTTGTTCGATTCATTTCATTTTTGTTGTTCTACGATGCCTCGCAAACGAAAGTCCAATTTAGCTAAAAGCTCTAGCAGAGCTCGGGCTGCTAAACACGCCATATCACTGAAATGAGACCTTCTCAACAGACCCAAGTTCGCCAAGCCATTGATGCCGAGCGTCACGCGGCTCAAAGAGCTGCTGAGACCTCTCAACAGTCCCAAGCTCGCCAAATCATTGATGCCGAGCGTCACGCGGATCAAAGAGCTGCTGAGACTTCTAAACAGACCCAAGCTCGCCAAATCTTAGATGCTGGGCGTAAAGCTTCGTACATAGCCGCAGAGACCTCCGAAGAGACACGTAGACGACGTTTAATTAATGCCGAGCGGCAAGCAGAAAGGAGACGTACGTTTACGATGAATACGCGGGAGGCATTTGCCGATGCTGCTTTTGATTATGATCCGTTACTTGATTACTTTAATCATCGATTAGTCCTCATAGGTAGAATGTGAGGCACTCAAGTGGAAGGAATAGACCCTAGGTATGTGCTGTTCTGGAGGCAAAGTATCAATACCAACGCTTGGTGACCCCGAGGAGCAACGACTGAAGAAAGAACAGCAATGAATCTCAAATTTTCCTGTCATCATGCCTGGATTTTCACCCACATTAACGGTACAAGGGCAAGTTTATCATAGGATTGGTTCTTTGCTTTCCACAAACAATGATCAACCAAAATTTCTACAGATTTATTTAATGGGAGACGAAAACAGCGAGGTTGACCGTTGATGTCAAAATATTGAAGGAGATGAGAGGAAAATTCTTTTAAAAATTCAAAGAATGCACGAACATAATAACCTCAGTTACACCTTCAAAACAGCCTTCGAAAAAATGCCACGGGAAAATCACAAATTAGTAATACTCGGCGATCGTACGCCGAGCGGGGAACATGAAAGACGTTATAATGCACCCTTAATAAACGAAGTCGCTGCCATGGTGTGTGGTGAACAGTTCACATCGCGCGATATTGTTTTTCAAGCCCATGATAACACATTGATCCGGGTGTCCGACACACACAAGTTTTATGACGCACTACAATACCCGCTTATGTTTAGCAATGAGCAAGAGGGGTACCGTTTTCAAATTCCACAAGAAGTGTGGAATTTGAAGATGGTAGGTACTCCTGGGCTGGCCCCTGTAAGAATCTCATAAACTTAAGGGACCAGGATTGACAAAAACTAATTTGACGCGGGCGAAGCCGCGGGCGGAAGCTAGTCCCGAAATAAATACACGAAGCTTAATAAAAAAATAAATAGAGACAATTCAAAATCAGAATCCAACTTCAAAAGAAGTTTCGTTATTTAAAAATATTAATTTTTAATATTTTATCCATCCATATTTTAAGTGCAAATGATAATGTATTTAATAACTACAAAGGTTGGATATACTCAGAGTAGATGAGATCGTATACTTTTAGAGATCTGCATAAAAAAATCAAGACACGAATACATAAACTAGTATTTCTAGTACACACGAATGATAATGGAAGCTTATTTTATGTGACGGGAAATCTGTTGCCCAGTTTGAGAGGGAGAGTCAGACTCTTACTAACTGAAAACCCCTCCTATTCTTCTCCTGCTCCAGGCCGGGGACGCTGTACCTTACTGTGCTTCCCCCGCAATCCCTGAATATCGGCCTTGTTGGGCCTTATCTGTGGTGGTCTATTGTCACTGTACCTCCATCTAAAATTATAATCATAATGGCAGGTCGATTTAACTCGAAGGTTTGATGCCCGTTTCTCATGCAAGAGTGCTCAAGTTCGAAACTCGGTTTTTATGACAGATATGATTAAAACACCACTGTAATAGGTTGAAGTATACCATCACTAAGAAACCAGCTTGAGCTAGCATGGTGATTAATACTCAAACATTCTCCTTGTGGGAACTTATATTTATTATGCAGTAAGCACTTATAGGCTCATGATTATGATTGAGGGCAATTATGGCTTTAGTAGGTACAAAGTCAAAGTCAAAATCATTTATTTCAATTAGACCACATTAGGCGCTTTTGAACGTCAAGCAAAAAAAAAAGGAAAAAGTATTTCAAGAACTTTAACTTTAGGCGTGTCAGTCTGTCCGTCTGTCCTCTAGTGAAGCTATTTGCTCGTTCCAAAGTGTAGATTCCTATAGAGAAGAACGAGCAAGAAACTCCATGGTTACTCTTTTTCAATCAGTTTTACAATACATTTCTTTGTTACATCATTTAGTCGGTTCCGTTATGTAAGAACAGTGTAACACTAATGTTTAGGCAAGTACTTTCGCCAACTTAACTTAGGCTTTATAAAATATTGTATTAATCATAACACCTCAATTAGAAAGTCCTAAAAGATCAGTAGGTACTATTTGCTTTTAATACTACGGGACCCTTCACATATGAAACCCCGTCGAACATATCGAGATTAAAAAAATAAATTAATTAAAATCAAACTTTCAGACACAGCTGTAGGATTTAAATTAAATTGTACATGAAATATTCATTGGAGTAATAATTATTTCAGTACAATCGGAGTATTCTGGATGAAGAGTATATTATGTAGGTACAGACTGATACACAGTGCAATCTAAATGGAAATTATGCACTGCAGTACATCTGTGGTTACTGGAATTTAAATAAGAATTGACAAATGGCTTAGCTGGTGACAGAAAGAGATTGTTGAGAAAGAGTTAAAAGATAATACTTACAAGACAGGTTATTTACTAGACAGACATTAAACGTTTTGTTTCGCCGTTTGAGTGAGGTCACCGGAGGCCTAATCCTCTCCCTCCCCCATCCCCAAAGGGCCAGCAACGCACTCGTAACTCCTCTGGCGTTTCGGGTGCGAATGGTGCTTACCATCAGCAACAGGCTTGGTCGTTTGCCAACTTACCAAAATTAAATATCAAATACCACAACATCGCTACATAATATATAACATATGTATTTCTGCCATTGTTTTGTTGTGTGTCTGTAATTAATATTTTAACATTATTTGCAGATTATGTTATCTCATCCGAGGAACATAAAGAAGAGTAAACCGTACAGCTTCCTAGAAGGCTGGCTCGGCACTGGACTATTGCTCAGTTCTGGTAAGTTTTTCTTAACCTTTATCTCTTTTATGTGATAGGATGGCGAACGAGCAGATGGATTATCTGATGGTAAGCAATCCTAATAGGTTGGATAACGAGCTAACAGATTACCCGATAGTAAGCAAACCGCACCGCCCATATATATTCGCAACAACCGAAGAGTTACGAGTGCTTTGCCGACCGATTGTGGGACGGATTATGGGAAGGGAAGGATTGGGCGTCCGGTAACCTCATTCATTCGGAGAAACACAATGTTTTGGTTGTTTCACGCCAGTTTTCTGTGAGGCCGTGGCATAACTTAACCTGACTGCACGGTTGGCGCGGTGCCTGGGCAACTGGCTGCCGTGCGACGTGTCGCGGGTTCGATTCCCGCGCGGAACAACACTTTGTGTGATCCACAAATTGTTGTTTCGGGTCTGGGTGTTGTGTGTGTGAAATTGTATGTTTGTAAACGCACCCACGACACAGGAGAACATCCTAGTGTGGGGCAACGATTTAAAAAAAATTACAAAAATAAAAACTCCGGTCGAGCCGACCCATTCAGGCCGGAGCATGGCTCTCCCACACTTAAATGTGTGCGACATTCTAGCCAGCACGTCGATTCTATAAAATTTGTTTCATTTTGAATCTTGTTCGAGTGCGAAGTGAGCGTCGAAGTGACGGGGAAATTAAATTTTAGAATGCCACTTTTAACGTCATCTCATACTTTATCTATCAAAATGTTGCTGTCAATTTAGTTCAACTCACGGCGGATTCAGATTCGAAGTTTAGAATGAAGTCTTACAGAATCACACTGCAGATTATAGTCGGTGTTTGAAGGTTGACACTTAAAAGTTGTAACTAGTTCTAAAGCCGCAGGTTTTACAACTAGATGTGGTTTAATTACTAGCACATTTTGTGTGACTGTGTTTTGCTGCTTATGACGCTTTTGTCAAGCGGTTAGTTTGGTTGAAATAATATTAGACGATTGTAATTAAAAGCTAGATAGTGTTTGTTGATGTTGAGGAGGGAATGTCAGATTCTTACTAACTAAAAGCCACTCAGTTCCTTCCCTAGATACATTTTCTAGAAAAAAATATAAAAACTAAATCATTTCACATATTTTCCTTTTAAGTCCTTGATTTGATTAAACTATAAACGTTTGAGTCTGCAATGTGCTTAAAAATTACATAAACGGGGTTGCGGGGCAAGCGCAGTTAGGTACCGCGGTCTTTGCCCTACAGCAGAAGAACGAAGGAGACGGTTTTTAGTCAGTAAGAGTCTGAAATTCTCTCTCGCCTTACCCTGAGCGTGAGTAGACATTTGATAATTTTCCTGTCACAAAAAAATGCTACATACAACATTTTTTCTGAAACATCCATTAGAACATGTCATATTGCATTCATTGCACCCGTCCACCACATTAAGAAGATAGATTAGATCTACAAAACTAATAATCTTTGATTTCCTACATATATCTTGTGTGGCTATAAAATATTCATTCATGAACTATGTTAACTCCCCAGGGGCAAAATGGCACAGACGGCGTAAGATCCTGACTCCAACCTTCCACTTCAATATTCTGAAGAACTTCACTAACGTTATGGAGGAGAGGAGCCGAGGTTTGGTGGACAAGCTGAAGGAGTACGATGGCAAAGAAGTGAACCTCATGCCTGTCATAAGTGACTGCACCCTGTTTACCATATGTGGTGAGTAACATACAAAATATAACCTTAAAGTAATGGTAGTGGAGTTTAATTTTAATCAACCGCATACTCTGTATTTTTCTGGTTATTATTTCGAATGTAATGCTTAATGGTTCTAGATATTATAAACACCAGCAAAATAATAAAATAATGATTCGGTCAAAAATAAATCATTGTCACATAAAAATCTATTAGAAAAATTTTTTAAATATTATTTCTGTTATAACCGATGGACAACAACACACAATTAATTTTTTTTCTTCACGCTATTATCCATTTTGGTTGAGTAGTTCGGGAGTTATGCGCTTACAAACGTTTTGATGTTAATTTAAGTTTCATTTTAATTTATATTAATAGCGAATAATGTGTAGGCAATAATGCTAATACTTTGTGCTTTACACGCAATGGATTTTGGTTAGCTAAAGGCAAATTCTAGCTTTGTACAACCAAAGTATTTTTATTTAATAATATTTGGAGAGAACAAACGATTTCTTTACCCTACCCTTAAAAGGTTCCTAAATGAAACGACAAACATTTTTTACGAAAAAAATACAGAACTTAAAAGACTAAAGCAAACACAAACATACTAAAAATGTGCCTATTTTTTCTTTTCAAAGATACAGAAACTTGATTACAGCATTTTCAATTTGCTTTTTAAATGGTTGTGTTCCTTTTTTCAACGATAACGGTAATACCTACTGAGATATTTTTGAATTTTGGAACGAATTTCGTATAGGCACAAAACTTGCTTTGTTTTTTTTTATTACGAATGGGCTGCCATTTTCCGCCTGGTGGTAAGGGATCATGCGACCTGTGATGGAGCACGCCTACGCATAAGCAACCTATTCACTCGGGCCTCGAATATATCTTCGATCCAGGTGGTATGATAAGGTTTGCTGTTAGAGAACCCAACTCTGGGTTAAGCTCGCCTTTGTACATATTTTTTTTATTGTATTTTTAAAAATGTATGTGTGTGCAATAAAGTATAATAATAATAATATGATTGTGTTAAGGACTATTGGAACAAAACATTTTCTGACTGACATGACTTCGTTAGTGGTTGATAAAATATTCAAAATAACAACTTCCTCACGTGAATTAATTATATAAAGAGCTCTACAAGTATCAATGACGATACAGTCTGATGACTGTAATGCACATGAGTAAGTCGTTACTTTCAATAATTTAATTTTAAAATTGGTGAAAGCGTGTAATTATTTAAATACCAATTTATGAATGAAGGGTGGCAATGATCTTCAGCCGGAGTTGCGGGGTAAGCACAATATAAAAAAACACCGCAGTCTCGGCCTAGAGGAGGAGGAGGAACGGGGTGTTAGTCAGTAAGAGTCTGACACTCCCTCCCGAATCAAATCATCAATCGAAATCATTAGACGATTGTATTCTCTCACACAAAAATGATAGCATTACTTAAAAAAGGGTATTATTCCAAAGTCAAAGTCCCTGTGAGACACCACAAAATATGTCGTAGTACCCACAATTAATTATCCGAAGAGTAACTAGTAAAACATCGTCCTAAATTAGTGTTTTTACGTCTTTACTTAATTCTTTGTCTACTCAGTTCATTTAGCAAGAAACAAACTCCTTGGTTTTCTTGTAAAAATTTTGTAACGTTTAGGGCTTGTTTTGCTATGATTGGATAGTTGCTATGTACCAGATTAATTTGAAAATAGAACGTTATTTGTATTAACCATGTCACTTTAATGATCGGGAAATTAAATAGGAAGGTCGTGAAAAACTTTATTTTTCACTTATTTCTATTTGGTAATAAATAATACATTAAAAAAAGTAACGTGTTGAATTTCGAAGGTTATTTGGGTACTTGACAACAGTTCAAATTATGTTACATTTTTCTTATTGTCAAAATGTTTTAGTTTTTTTAGGAATTTGGTATGGGACAGTGTGTAGTATTGTCGTGGTGGCCCGGAGGTTAATGCGCCCGCTTCTAATCCATGAGGGTGCAGGTTCGAAACCTGAAAAGTAGCAATGTGAATTTTTCTGAGCTATACGTACTTTCTATGATTATTTAGACACCACTGATATAAGGTGGAGGTAAACATCGTGAAGAAACATGGACTTATAATTTTGAAATCGCCAACCCGCATTGAGAAAGCGTGGTGATTAATGCTCCAACCTTCTCCATGTGAGAAGAGTCCTTTTCTCAGCAGTGGGCCCTTATAGGCTGGTGATGAGTGTGTAGAAACGTTACAGCTCCTTCCAAAATTTGCTAGAAAAATATTTAAGAATTAAAATACTTATAATATCTTAAAAGCAATTAGTTAAATTGGTTATTAATTTGTTGACTAAGTCAAGTAGCTATCCAATTGAGTAATAGCAACTTTCATTAAAACAGTCTATTAAAAAGAAAACTACGTTCCTCCTTATTTCCCATACGAACAAAAAAGGTTTGATATCATTGGACTTTTAGTTTTTACAGTGCGGCTTTTTGCGGCCATTTATTTGACCTTTGCAGACATATAACATCTGTAGATTTTTAAGCACCCTAATCTGTACCAGATGTGGTCTCCTGACGTCACAGAAATATTCGGGAGGATTAATTTAAGCCAGTTTTATTCCCTAGATAAGGTCAAGGAACAAAAAGCTAATTTTCTCAGAGTTTTCTGGAAATGTTTTAGTCAATGTACCGGATAAGGGGAATTAGGGGGAGTAGCTGTTCCCTCTGTAGCATAGCCTATTTCTTGTTTGTTCTTGTAAGGCTAATTACACGTTGTAAGTCACGCATGTTACTTCGTAACAGTGAAATTCTCTGAGTCGCATTTGTTTATTATATTCTTACTTCTTACATCACGGTTGGTGCGGTGGCTGGGCAACTGGCAGTCGTGCAACGTGTCGCGCGTTCGATTCCCGCACGGAACAACACTTTGTGTGACCACTTTTTGTTCCGGGTCCGGATATGTTTGCAACCGCACCCACGACACAGGAGAAAATCCTAATGTGGGGCAAAGTATTTTTTAAAAAGAAAAAAAAAGGTACGGTAGTTTCCAACTAGTCAAATTCAGTGTTTCTATTGAAATATCCTTATGTTTTTATATGAAATTTGAAAACATTGAAAACATGTGACGTCATAATTTTTAGTTTTGCGTCAAACAGCATACTTATTTTTTTTAAAGTTTACTAGAAAAATTCTAAAATATTATTTTATATTTTTATTTATTGTATTGAAAAGTCAATTCATTTTACCTAGGAAACTACCCAATAGTTTATCAGAGGATTTAATGTCGACAGCATTTATCTAAGCATCTCCATTTTACATCATCATTATCACCAGACTAAAAATTCCCACTGCGGAACAAACATGTCTTACCACATGGAGAAGGTTTGAGCAATAACAACCACGCTTGCTCAAGGTGCATTGGCGATTTCAAACTTATAATTTGAAATCATAAGTTCAGGTTTCCTCATGATAATTTTCTATACATTTTGATAGTGGTGTCTGATTAAACTTAGAAAGTATCAATGTAACAATAATAATATTATAAAGAGGTAAAATTTGTAAGTTTGTATGTTTGTATGAAGGGGGTAATCTTTTGAACCGCTGGTCGGATTGCAAAATTATTTCACTGTTAGATAGCTACAATGTTCCTGAGTGCTATAGGCTATAAAACATCACGCTACTATTAAATGGAACCGAGCGGCGGGCGAAACCGCGCAAGAGTAGCTATTGTAACAATAAAAAGTCACATAGGTACTTGCAAGGTTTTGAACCCAGGCGAGGTAACCTCAAGGTCACTGCGATACACACTCGTGTTTCGTCTTTATAGACTCTTTAACTTAATAGGATAGTTTACCTGACTTTTACGCATATATGTCACTTAATATCTAGTACCATGTAACTTACACCCGGTTTCTGAAAGGCTTGTCAACTAAAATTAACTAATCTCCTGTTAAATCTCTTGTCAAGTCAGGTCATCTGATTGGTTGTTGATAATTCAGTCAACCAATCAGATGACCTGACAAGAGATTAAATTGATTTTAACATTGATCGGCCTTTCGGAAACCGGGTGTTAGTGTCTTAAGGGAGAGGCCTTTGTCCAGCAGTGGACGTTTTCCTGCTGATGATGATGATGATGATGAATATCTTGTTACAGAAACGGCTATGGGTACACAGTTAGACTCTGATTATTCTACGAAAACCCAAGAGTACAAAACGGCTATCCTTCAAATTGGTGGTGTACTGATGGGTCGTCTAACAAAAGTATGGCTTCACAACGAGTATATCTTTAGAAAGTTTCCAATGGGTAAACTGTTCGAGAAATATCTGGAAAAAGTTCATTCGTTCGCTGATGACGTGATTATGGAGAGGAAGAAGAGTTGGAAACCTGGACAAAATGATGGTGTAGAAGATGATGTAGGTGGAAAGAAGAGGTTAGCCATGTTGGATGTGCTGTTAGAAGCTGAAAGAAAGGGAGAAATAGATCTCGAAGGGATCAGAGAAGAAGTTAATACGTTTATGTTCGAGGTGAGTTCTTAATGATGTAGTATGAAACTTGTATGATTTCACTTCTCTAACAAACTGCATGAGATTTTTATATATAGTTTAACTAGCTTTTGTTCACATGGAATAGACTTCCTGCAGATTTTTGGTTTAAAAGTATCCTATGGCCTTTCTCGAGTTCCAAACTATGTCTGTACCAAAGTACAAAATTTCACACAAATAGGGTCAGTAGTTTAGGCGTGAAGAAAAAACAGATATACAGACAGAGTTACTTTCTCATTTATAATATTAGTTTGGATTAACAGAACCGCTAAAGAGTGGGATTCTTTGCCAGAGTCTGTGTTCCCCGAAGTACCTAGGTTTTTTTTTTTTTACTTGCAATAAACCAGTGCTTGACTGCGATCCCACCTGATGTTAAGCAGTGATATTCACTCTAGTCTTGAAGACACCTAAATTGTATTCGGACGGAAAGACTGCAGCCGGCAAACTGTTCTAATCCCTCGATGTACGCGGTATAAATGACGAGGCAAAACGCTTAGTCCGGGCCGCAGGTGTCTCAACAACGTAGGGGTGGATATTCGCTGTACGCCGGGATGTCCGAAGGTGAAATTGGGATGGCGGAATCAAGTCGTGCAATTCCTGGGCACACTCTCCAAAATGCATCCTGTAGAAAACCGCAAGGCTGGCTACTCTGCGCCTGTGCTCGAGACTTTGAATATTGGACCCAACCAAATCTGGATCTCCAATCAGCCTCATTGCACGCCTTTCCACCGAATCCAAAGCCGCTAGGTGGCATTTCGCAGCACCAGCCCATATGTGGCTAGGTGTCTTCAAAGCCCGAGTGAATAGATAGCTTATGGGTAGCCGTGCTTCATGCGTAGGTCGCATTATCGCTTACAATCAGGCGTGATGACAGCCATATACCTCCCCATTACTAAATAAACCTATTAGGAATCAACCTTGGGAAACAAATCAACGTATTTTAGCTTACCACTTAGATCTGTTTATTACTTTAGGCTGTTCTCAAATAAAATCGAGCCTAAAATGTTTCTTATAGTCCTTAGTATTTGAAGATTCGCCAAAAGAATTTATGTTAATTGTATTAATGTTGTAACCAAAAGTTTAATTAGGCCATCCAACCAACGGCCTCAATGACTAGTCATTTAGTTAAATGGCTGGATTTCTTATTCAGGCTGTCAGTTGATGACCTGAATGACTAGTAATTTTATTGAATGACCGGATTTCTAATTCAGGCAAACGACTCGTTGGTGCGGTGGCTGGGCAATTGGCTGCCGTGCAACGTGTCGTGGGTTCGATTCCCGCACGGAACAACTCATTGTGTGATCCACAAATTGTGGTTCCGGGTCTGGGTGGCTTGTGTTTGTGAAATTGTATGTTTATAAACTCACTTACGACACTGGAGAAAATTCTAGTGTGGGGCAACGTTTTATATAAAAAATACCTTATTTCAAGAAAATACGATTGAAGGTTTTCTTTATGGTAATATTTCTACGAAAAATTCTTCCTACATATAATATTAATGCCAGTTAATAAGAAGCAAAGATCTAGAAAGTATGGATTAAGTGAAAATTCCTTTGCTTAGAGATGAAAAGAGGATTTTGTGGGGTATTCTTTTGTTGACGATATTGTTTTTTCAGGGACACGATACCACGGCGATGGCGCTTGTTTTTGGGCTGATGTTGCTAGCGGATCATCCTGAAGTTCAGGTATTTTTATATATCATTTAGAAGTAGTGCCTCAAATATTGATTTAAGTACAGTATATTTTAAATTACCATCACGTCGTAGTGTTCCGAAATAAGGCTTCTCATGGATGCAAGGTTCGAAACCTGGCAAATAACAATATGACTTTTGCCAAGTCAAACGTACTTTCTAGGTTCATTTAAACACCACAGAGCTATGATAAAAGTAAAAATTGTGAGGAAACCTGGATTTATTTCTGATGATAAGTTTGAAATCGCCCATCCAATCAATTTAAGCAATCGTGGTGATTACCGCTTAAACTTTTTCGTGTGACAAGAGGCCTTTGCTCAGCAGTGGGCACTTTTAAGCTGATGATGTGATATTTTACAATAAATACTCCGATTTTAGCCGTATCGAATATCAAAAAGGATTCTGAGAGCTTGCGAGCGCTAGTGTGATTCTCTAAGACTTCATTCTAAACTTCGATTCTAAATCCCCTGTGAGTAGTAGTACACTAGCGCTACACTTGCGAGTTGAAATAAATCGACCGCAACATTTTAATAGATAAAGTTTAAGATGACGTTAAAAGTGGCATTCTATAATGTAATTTCCCCGTCACTTCGACGCTCACCTCAAACTCGAACAAGATTGAAAATCAAACAAATTTTATAGAATCGGCGTGCAGAAGATTACTTGAGTAGAGAGGCTGTTAAAGCAGTTTGGAAGTTTTAAGTGTGGGAGAGCCATGCTTCGGCACGAATGGGTCGGCTCGGCCGGAGTGATACCACGGCCTCACAGAAAACCGGCGTGAAACAACCACAACGTTGTGTTTCGCCGTGTGAATGAGGTTACCGGAGGCCCAATCCGTCCCCTACCCCAATCCCTTCCCAGTCCCAAAATCCTAATCCTTAAAAGGTCGGCAACCACTCGTAACTCCTTCTTTGTTGCGGGTGTCCATGGGCGACGCCGATTGCTTACCATCAGGTAATTCGTCTGCTCGTTTGCCGTCCTATCACATAAAAAAAAGCTGAGGCTCTATAAGGAACTCCCTTATAAATATTCTGTTGTAGGTAAAGGAAATTAAAATTGATAGCTGGCTGGAGTTGGTTTCCAAAGCGAAGGGTATAGCGTATCTCAGTTTATCTTAATTAATCGCTAGTTAATCCCTTGTGACGTATGTCTTAGTGGTTCTATCTCGACGTGTTCTCTGCCATGTTTTCGTGATGGAGCTAATTAATGACCGAGTTTACCATACAGTTAATTTATGTGATCCTTTTTAGGGTTTTGTAGCCTAAAAAATTGTAGTTCTATTACAAGATAAGATACAGATTCTTTTTGTCTGTCTCGTTATTTTATAGCCACTCTTTTCCTCTCCGTTTCTATAAAGACTATATTTTTAAATCTTTGTAAGCAGATGTATTCTGTGAACTATATAGCGTTTTTCCTTATGTAAACCTACCCTCCGATACCCTCCATGGTTTAAGTGTCCAGTTCTAACACTAAAACCATGGAGGGTATCGGAGGGTAGGTTTTCCAAAAATATATTTATGATTATATGATATACATTTCTGATCGATTCATCGCCGAAAATTGTATGAATAAGACAAAATGTAGTAAGTTTTTTTTTAGCTCTATAAATCGTAAACCGTTTTCCAAGTAAATGGTGACAGACAGAGGTGTTTGCAACCACAATTTTATATAGATTTATCCTGGATTTTCAAACATTTACGTACTCGTATTTTGAATTCTAAGTATTGCGTAACATATGGCTACAACTTTGATTATACGAGAAGCTAATAATATAAAGGCTAAATAAAGTATGTCAAGTCTTTCGGGGAATCAGAGATAGATCACAGAGAGATATTTACAAAATGGCCAACCCTTCATAGTTTCTGTGTAGCTTTAAGTATAGGTGAGTCATGCTTCGACACGAATGGATCGGCTCGACCGGATTCATACCACGGCCTCACTGAAAATCAGCGTGAAACAACCACAGCTTTGTGTTTCGCCGTGTGAGTGAGGTTACCGGAGGCCCAATCCTTCCCCTCCCCCAATCCCTCCTAAATCCCTAAATCTCCAAATCCCTAATCCCTAAAAAGTCGGCAACGCACTCGTAACTCCTCCGTTGCGAGTGTCCATGGGCGGCGCCGATTGCTTACCATCAGGTAATCCGTATGCTCGTTTGCCGACCTATTAAATAAAATAAAATAAAAAAAAATATATATAAAGAAAGCTGAATTTCAACATGTTACATATACCTCTTTTCCCATAACATGTAATAATTTCCAGGTTTACGGAAAGTGGATGTAGTTGGCATGTTTTAATGGCCTTTCAGAGAATTCGGTTTCAGTTTCGCGTACCATATTATTATTTAACACTTTAACGACTCTTAATAAATGGTGTTTCGTCGAAAGATATTTAATTAATCTGTTTCTGATGTAGTGTAGGTAATATGAAATTTTTAGAAATCCTATTTTGATGGTTCTAAATAAGTAGATATTGAGTTTGAATAGTTGTGCAGCACTGAATTCTTGAATATTAAATCCTATTTTTCGTTTTTGGTCGGGGAAATTATTGAAATATATAATCTGATTTCAATTGTGAAATCCCAAAAAAATAAATAATTTCTAACATAAATTATTAGGTAAGCTTTTTAATAAAACTATATAATAAGGCGTCTTCATTAGTTGTGCACTTCTTGTCTATATTATTTTAATTATACGCGTAAATAACATAATATGCCAAAGTAAAACTTTTCTTGTAAATAATTTTATGTCACTATTAGAAAAATGTATATAACATTTTATTTCACTTTCATCATCATTAACAGATTTTTATTTTTACACAACGAAGGTCTCATCATTTATCACCCCGCTTTCTCTACGAGGACTGGCGATTTCCAACGTATTTATAATCAGATAATATACGACCAGGTTTTCACATGATGTAGACATCATTGACATAGTCTAAGTATACTTATATTATAAAGAGGTAACATTTTAAAGTTTATAAGTTTGTATATTTGTAAGTTTTATGTAGGGGGTAATCTTTGGAACCGCTGGTCGGGTTGCCAAAATTGTTTCACTGATAGATAGCTACAATGTTACCGAGTGCTATAGGCTATAAAACATCACGCTAAGATCAAACGGAGCCGAGCAGCGAGTGAAACCGCGCGAGAGTAGCTAGTACGCTATATTATGACTTAGTAAAAGTCACATTGGCACTTCCCAGGTTCCTTACCCATGCATGAGAAGCCTCCGGGCATACGGCACCCTGCCACAGCCACTTTACAACCAAAGAAAAACAAAAGAGAAAGATCTCGATTGTCCAGAATATTCCTACCACAACATTCCACTTATCCATATTTTATTTTGCTGTGAAATGTAGCCGGCCTATAAATATTATCGGGCTTCAAAAGCCTCTTAACTGAGAGTAGTAAATTCCCTGCCCTCGCCGATCCAAGGTCATCGACCAAACTTTGAACAAGATAACAAATCTCGCCAGAAAATACTTTAAAGTTACCCAATTTTGTTCTAAAACACCATTTTTTTTCGAATGTTCGCGAGGGCTTTGTTAATCTAATCTAGGGAAACGTTTGGGTTGCGTTTCACTTTTATTACCCAGCCGCCATCTTAACTTGACGCGAAAAAAACAAAATGGAAGCTGTTTAAGCAATTTATCGCTGTTTAATGTGAAACTTTGGTCTTTATTCTAATATCCTTTGAAGATCAAGCAATCTGGTGAAATTTTGTAGTCACCCCTGCTTGAGTTAGGGCAAAAACTGTTGTGTTTTTCTTACAATGGGGATACTGATAATGCCGTTTTTTATCAGGTGGTTAGTTTAAAAGTTTATTTATTTGTTTCCTAGCTTTTGCCTGCGACTTCGTTCGCGTTGAATACTGAATTCCTGCAGATTTTTGGTATAAAAATAATCCTGTGTCCTCGAGTTTCAAACTATGTCTGTACCAAATATCACAGAAATTGGTTCAGTGGTTTATGTATAATTGATGATAGGTATAAATCGTGATGTAATTTTCGACACGTTTTTTTGAGGGGTAGGGGGAATCATCAAATGACTGCTGTCACCTTGAGTGCACCGAGAGTGTCAGACTCTTACTGACTGACTTACAATTACCCCGTTCCTTCTCCTGCTTCAGGCTAAGGCCGGAGTACCTTTTTGGTATTGAGTTTGAATCGCAACCCCGGGAGAATTTCATCATCATCATCATCATCATCATCATCATCATCAGCCTATAAGTGCCCACTGCTGAGCAAAAGCCTCTTCTCATACGGAGAAGGTTAGAGTTTTAATTATCACGATGCTCAATGCGGGTTGGCGATTTCAAACTTATAATTAGAAATTATAAGTCCAGGTTTCCTCACGATGTTTACCTTCACCGCATGTCAGTGGTGTCTAAATAATCATAGAAAGTACATATAACTCGGAAAAAGTCACATTGGTACTTGCCAGTTTTCGAACCCCATGTATGAGAAGTGGGCTACTTAACCTCCGGGCCACCACGACTTATATATCCTAAATACCCGGGAGAATTTCGGACACCTTTATATTACACTTATTATTTCTTCAACAGGAACGTATATACGAAGAGTGTCAGAGGATCCTCGGAGATTCAGATAGCATTCCAACGATGTCTGATCTGGCAGAAATGAAGTATCTTGAAGCTGTCATCAAGGAAGTTCTGAGACTGTACCCAAGTGTGCCGTTCATAGCCCGGGAGGTGACTGAGGACTTTATGCTAGGTATGATAATTATTTTTAATATGAGATAATTAACAAGATTTAATTAATAACTTGCTACTCTCTGCTCGGCTCCTTCACGTCGTAGCTTGATGTGTTATAGCCTCCCTCGATAAATGGACCCACAAACATAAAAAGCATTTTTCAATTCGAACCAGTAGTTTCGGAGATTAGCGCGTTCAAACTTTATATTACTAATTTGATGGCCATCACTACATAGTGAAAAACAAAGTCCCTTTCTCTGCCCTTATATCCCTATGTATGCTTAAATCTTTAAAAATACGAAACGGATTTTGATGAGATTTTTTTAAAGAGATAGAGTAATTAAAGAGCAAGTTTTAAAATGCATTCAATAGTAAAGAAATTGTGGCGGGCGGGTCACTAATCTTATTATTTTTATTTTGCGGGATTCGGTAGTCCCGCAAAATAAAAATAATAAATAACGAGGACTATTTTTTTCGAAAGTAAAGAATAGATATTGTCGCATTTTTATACCGACCTATCTGCCAATAAGGGTCAGTGAATTGAAGAAAAACATTTGTGTGGGCGTCGATATACTGTAGGAGCCTATGTATCTAGCATTATGTATAAGGGTCTTTCTAATATCCCAATTTGGAGACGGTTATTTCGTAAAAGAAAAACAAAACTCGTCTAAAAATAAACATTTCAAAAAGGTTATAACAGACACTTAATTGTTTCTAAACACAATTGTTTAAAGCTGTCGAATTCTTAAAGAAGGTTTTAGTTTTCATTTTGTTCTTCATATGTTTTTTCATAGCTGCCCACCCTTACTTCGTACAGTTGTTCAATTATCTTGCTAAAGACGAACGTAATGCAATTACCCATACTCCCTTTACTTTTCTAAATAAACTACTCCTGGCAACAATACAAAAAAAACAACAGAAAAATAATTGGTAAAATTGGTCCAGGCGTTGTCGAGTTATGTGCTTGCTAATACATTTTGCGATTCATTTTTGCATTCAGATAACAATGGTGCGTAATAAACAATAAACAAAGCTTAAAATACAAATTTAAAAAATAATCACTTGATAAGAATTTATTTTAATCAAACAATTATGTAATTTTTTCAAGACTTAAATAATACTATTTAAGAATCTCTCTAGAATTTTCGACAATTTCCTACCATAATCCTACTAGAATGTCCCAAGTATACAGAAACGTGACCAATAAGGCGAAAAGACGTGACTAGCCGACTATCAAATTGTATGTAGCCTTTCTAAATCCAGACAATACTGTTAGAATAGAAAAAAAACTAAGTCCAAAATAGCATTCATGATACAGACCCATGTTGGGTGGCAATAATAGAACTTACATTTAAAAGGTCCAATTTCCTATGTCTTATATATAAAAATGGATCGCAAAATGTGTTGGTAAGCGCATAACTCAACAACGCCTGGACCAATTTTGCTAATTCTTTTTTTGTTGTGTTTGTTATTGTCAGGAGAAGTTTCTTATCAAAGAAAAGCAGGCAGATTAGAAAAAAGTGGCCGTTTGATAGCGGGATAGTTGGACCCGTGCAAAGTGGGGGCGGGCCGCTAGTATCTAATAAAATATCTTTACTAACAGGACTGACCGACAGACTGACACTTTTGATCTTTAAGCTTTGTTTCACGTTCAAAAGTGCCTGTAAGGGTGTAATTGACAGAATTGATTTTTGACATTGACTTTGATTTTGACTTCTTAAAACAAAAATGAATGGATGTATTTAAATCTCTTCAAATACCAGGTAGGTACTGATCACTTGACTCATTATAGTGGAACAGAAAATATTTATAATAATGTCTACTATGTATTCGTGAAAAATTAAGCAGCATATATCAATTTCATAAACACCCTATAAGATTTTACTGCTGGGAAAATACCAATTTTCATATGGATAAAGAATAAAGCATTATTCACTACCTATGCTTGTCAAAAGCGGATTATAGATTTCAGACTTGGTATGAGAAATTATAAATCCAAGTTTGCGGGTAATACATATACCTAATCGAATTTAGTCGTGTTTTGTTTTACATAAGTCGCAAGTTTTCTGTTACCTGCTCTGTGAGAAATGTTAGAAAGTATATAATAGGTTGCAAAAAGTCACATTGATACACACTTGTGAGGTTTTTTCAAGCATGAAAAATGACCACCATAACCCGACTTTTCTTAAGCTTAAAACACTCCTCGTGCAAAACGAAACTAAATCAAACAGTTTTAATGCCATAAAAGTAAACATAATAATATCTGTTTATTCAACATCCCATATGAAAGTTTTTAATATCAAAGATTTCTGTGGAGTTACACGGAATTCAGTATTATTTTACAAATTACCGGAGGCTATATAAATAAGTTGAGATATTATTATGTAAATTAATACAAAATTTTGTCATACATAAAGAAAGAACGAAAGAAAGACCATTTAAGTCTGCGCAAAACACACGTAAACTTAAGAACTACAACAAAATAATAATACATTAATATGAAAAGCGAAGGTAAACAGAAAAAAAAACAAAAAAAAAATAAGGTCTAAAATTAAATCAAGTAATAACATCTGATAGTCAAACTTTGGATAAAAAGTACTGGCCGATATAAAAAAAGGTTTGAAATAAACCCAGTTTTTTTATATTACTGAGGTAACAAAGAAGATTATGGCCTCATTTGATGGAAAGCAGTTATTATATATAGCCTAGGGAGAGATGCTCATTATTTGCAGCATAATTTTTAGTTCTAGAACGTGATATTGAAGGTATGTAATGATACTAGTGTGTGCCAGCGGCTTCACCTCTAGTTCTGGGGTAAAAAAGAGGCTACGTGTTATTCCAGACTATAGTCTATCTTTACTCTTCTGTTGTTGCGACTGCCTATGGGCGGCGCCGATTACCTTCAGGTAATCCGTTTACTATTTTGCCGTCCAGTAAAAAATATACTTGTGTATATAATTATAAAATGAAATTTGTATGAACAAGTGTGCAAGTCATACTTTAGAGCGAATAAGTCGGTTCGACTGGAGTGATACCACGACCTTAGCGAAAATCAGTGTGGAGTAACAATAGCGTTGTGTTTCGCCGTATGAGTGCGGTTACCGGAGGCCCAGTCATTATAATCCCTCCCCAATCTTGAAATCTATATAATATAATACCGAAACCCTAGTCCCCAAAAGGCCGGCAATGCACTTGTGACACCTCTCTTACTGCGAGTATCCATGGGCGGTATTGAATCATCATCATCATCATCATTATCATCGTCGGCCGGAAAACGTCCACTGCTGGACAAAGGCCTCCCCCTTAGCCTTTCCACGTCGAACGATAAGTTGCTACCTGCATCCATTGGCTCCCCACGACTCAGTACTCGCGCCCACACTAATTTTCCGGTCCTTGGTCGCCACTCCAGCAATTTTCGGGCGCATCGGCCGTCCGCATCGTATTCTTACCAGGTAATCAGTCTAGTCGTTTGCCGACCAATACCATAACAAAATAAGAAACACACTACTACTACTACTACTCCTTCTTAAAAGACCGGCAACGCACCTGTGACTCCTCTGGTGTTGCAGATGTCCATGGGCGACGCTGATCGCTTACCATCAGGTGATCCGTCTGCTCGTTTGCCTCCTATTCCACAAAAAAAAACTTATTCGAAGACGGTGAAGCAGGTCTTTACTTAATCAAACAAATAGTAAATTTGAATAGTCCAAAACACAACACTACATTCTGGAAACCACTACGGAGTTAATTGTAGCATAAAATGAATTTTAAACCCAAACATTATGAGTTAAGACGTATAAGTCAGATGACGAGGACCATTATGTCCGAGAATGGTATAAAACCTTAACATAAACTGACATTATAGACATTTTTAGTCTTCCAGAAAGGTCAACTGTGAAATGTGACGAGAGACAGTTGTAGGACTAGTACGCATATGTAGGTGTGATAGTGTTCTATAGCCTTTTATTATATTGACGCGTCGTTTCTTTATCGCACATCGCTCTTATGTTAAGTGTGGGAGAGCCAAGCTTCGGCACGAATGGATCGGCTCGACCGGAGTGATACCACGGCGTCACAGAAAGCCAGCGCGAAAAAACAACAGCGTTGTGTGTCGCCGTGTGAGTGAGGTTACCGGATACCCAATCATTCCCCTCCCCAATCCCTAAATCTCCAAAATCCCTTATCTCCAAAAGGACAGCAAAGCACTCGTAACTCCTCTGTTGTTGCGGGTGTCCATGGGCGGCGCTGATTGCTTACCATCAGGTTATCCGCCTCCTCGTTTGCCAAAAATAATGTTAGTGTTTGCGTGGGCTATACAGTCTTCTGCCGTAATGTAACAGAGCAGATAGATTGCATGATGGCTAACAATCAGCGCTGCCCATGGGCACTCGTAATACCAAAGGAGTTACTACAAGTGCTTTGCCAGCATCTTGTGGGTCAGTAGGGATTCAGGATGGCGGGCGTAGAAGGAGGAAGGATTGGGCCTCTTAAGTACTCACACGGAAAAACACAGCATAAGTGTTTCTTCACGCCAGTTTTCTGTGAGGCTGTCATATCACTCCGGTCGATTCGTGCCAAAGCATGGCTCTCCTCCCACATAATCGCCGTAAATAAGATGTTACGTAGATCAAGGTTTGCTGCAGATGACTTTGATTCCCGCTCCCTCACAGCCACATGAGAGACGGTACAAACAGGATGGTTTTAGTCCGCAAGAGTCTGACAGTCCCTTTCGTCTCCCATGAAGATTTTGCACCTTGAGACAAAAAAAACATTTCAACAAATTTGACAACTCTCATTGGCCCCGTGGATTGTGCGAAGTAAAATAGTGATGTTTCATTTTTCTTTTAAAAATCTGGTATTAACTGAATCAATTTACTGAATAAAATTTTTAAAATTATATTCACTTATTACAAATTTTTGTCTCGTAGAAAGCTTATACAAGGTTAATAACCCTTCAATAAGTTTTAAAAACAATTGCCAATTTAACACCTTTTAATTTGTGTAAGTAAAGTGAAGAAA